CAGGTGTGGCTCATATTTAACTTTTAAATTCTTATAATAATCCATAGATATTCGTGTTTCACTCTGAAGTAGAAGTTCACTAACCCAGGTATGCATGGCTTTGGAAAGTGCGTGCTGGGACCTGAACCCTGGCTGCCTGGTTTGAGAGCCTGAACTTGCCATTGCACCAGACTGCCTCTTCAGGGATGATACTTCTCTGAGACCTTCACTGGCTTCTAGAACCATGGGCAAGAGCTCCCTCTGATGTCTGCAGGCTGTATTATGGGTCCTGCCCACTAACATCTGATATAATCCAAGCCTAKAGAAATTCAAACCTGATATTAGGGGTGTTGAGAATAAGTGGTCCTGTGATTTGAAGTCAGGACCACTGGGTTCAAATTCCTGGGTATCATCAGAATGGCTAAAATCAAGAATACCAGTGCTGACAAGGATGTGGAACCGTTGCTTGGTGGGAATGTTAAGTTGGTAGAACCACTTCAAAAAACCATTTGGCACGGGCTGGAGTTATGGCTCAGTGGTAGAGTGCTCATCTAGCACATGTGAGGCCCTGGGTTCAATCCTCAGCACCACATAAAAATAAAATAAAGGTATTGTGTCCGATTTAAAAAAAAACAAACAAACATTTGGCAGTACCTAGACAAGCAAAAACCACATATAAGCCAAAAAACGTCCAAGACCAAACCCAAACAACAACAAACCCAAAATAAACACAAATAACAAAAACCAAACCTACTCTATAATTCTACTCCTGAGAACATGAGTGCACATGTGTACCAAATAACATGCACAGAATTTTTCATGGCAACTTTATTTGTAATAGCCCCAAACAGAAAATGATCATAATTTCCATCAGCAGTAGAAAGGCTAAACTATAGTAGATTTAAATAATGGATTACTACATAGCATAAAAATGAATTCTTAAGTCTCAGATATAAAACTGGGCAAAAGAGGATATAAAATTCCATTTTTATAAAACTCAAGAGCTGGCAGACTTATCCATAGTGATAAAAGTCAAAATAATGGTACTTCTGAGGGATTGTGACTAATTAGAGGAATGAGGAAAACTCTGGAAGGTTGGCAATATTCTGTATCTTGTTTTGCAGTTCTGGGGTCTTGGGCATGCTAGTTGAGAGCTCTACCAATGAGTTACATCCCAGCCTGACATTCTATATCTTGACCTGGAAGGTAACTGCCTAGAGGCCAACATATATGTAAGGGCTTGTCATTCTAAAAACTGGCATACATAACTAAACAGATACTGTATCCCAAACGGAGGGTGGGGAAGAGAATGGTTATTAAATAAAAACAATTCCTAGGTCTAGKGGAGAACATTATTTTTTGTCTTTTAACCTGGTAAGAGCCCTATAATTTTCTTTCTAGGGTCACATCTCTTCCTTTCTCAATGTATTTCAGATGTAGCTGCTGTCTTCCCAGGCTTTAGATATATGACCCAGGCCCCAAATTAGAGCACTCATTCCCCTGACCAGTGACTGGTTCAGGAATGTAAACAGGACCAAGCTGTCTAATGAGTTTTTTAGTTGAACTAGTAAAGGTATTTTTTCCACTGTTGTTACTGATATATCAGGATATAAACCTAGAGTGCCCAGTGGCTACTTTGTCAACTTTTGGAAAGAGTTTGCCCAAGAAAGAGGCTGCACAGAAAAAAATGATATTCCAGATGAAACTGTGCACTGTCAAGTAGGCATGGTGGTGCACGCCTGTAATCCCTGTAGCTTGGGAGGCTGAGGCAGGAGAATCCCAAGTTCAAAGCCAGCCTCAGCAACTCAGTGAGGCACTAAGTAACTCAGTGAGACCCTGTCTTTAAATAAAATATGAAAAAGAGCTTGGGGATGTGGCTCAGTGGTTAAGCACCCCTGGGTTTAATACCTGATACCAAAAAAAAAAAAAAAAAAGTGTGCACTGTGTTACAACTTGAATCTAGCTATCATTGTGCTTGGCGTTTTCATTAAGTGGACCAATTCTTCTTCTTCTTTTTTTTTTTTTTTAGTTAACCACTTTGATTTGATTTTCTTAGTTATAACTGTAGTCTACTACACTGAATATTGGATAAAATTCTGGGCTGTATGGGGGGGGGTTTCTTGGAATGTAAAATAAACATTGAGCCTTGTCTGAATTATTTGTGGATGTTGCTGCTGCTCTTGCCATGAGTGGCTGCTTGCTCTGAGAGGATGGCACTGCCACAGATCATGTGGGAAGGATTCTGAACCACAAATCTAGAAGTGGATTCTACTTCCCATTTAGCTACTTCTTAGAGGTAAGATCTTGGCAAATCACTATTATAACTCATTGAGAYTTGTTCCTTCTCTAAATGAAATATAATTATCTAACTCAAGAAGTATTTATGGCTGGGTGTGGTGRCACATGCTTATAATCCCAGAGGTTCAGGAGGCTGAGGCAGGAGGATCAAGAGTTAAAAGCCAGCCCCAGCAACTTATTGAGGCCTTATGTGGATATGACTAAGTGGTTAAATGCCCCTGGGTTCAATTCTGGTACCCCTCCCACCCCTGCAAAAAAAAAAAGAAAGAAAAAAAGAAGAGAGTTATGTAGATCAAATGCTAGTTTCCCAACTTCTCCGCTTTTTCATACTCTTGCTGAGTTATTTTTTGCATCCTTGGGTATTACCACAACACTCATTACAATCTTGTCATAATGCTCTTTAATAGAGTTCATCTCTGGTGTCCCCACACCAATGCTGGWTGCACAGTTGGCAGGGATTCCTGAATCCAGACAAAGAGGTCCCGCAGGTCAAGGGTTTATGGTASGGCAGTCCATTCCACCCCTTCACCCTTCACTTCCCTGCCTGGAAACTTCCTGGACATTGCAGAAGAGCTCTGGGGAAGAGAGGAAGACACAGCTCAGAGATAGAGTGCTTGTCTAGTGTGTGTAAGATCCTGAATTCAATCCCTGGTAAAACACGCAGCCCCCACAGACCTCTAGGGGGACACTGCTGAGGCAGTCTGAGGTTGAACATCTACCCTGGGAATATGTAGAGCCTTTCACAGCTGGCCAGGAGCAGGTGCCTAGGGACTTTTTGCTGAGTGAATAATAGGATTTGGGGGTGCTTGGTTCTGGTTGTTTGCAACAAAGGTTGGACAAAAGGTTCCTGAGGCCATGACACTCTTTCACTCCCCCCACCCCCGCCATTTGTGGGTCACAGAAAAGGTCTTTCTAAGAACCACCAAGCCTGTAGTCCCAATGGAACAAAACTATCACTGGGTAAGAGCTAAGCAAGAAAAGGCTCTCTCTCCTTATACACTCTTGTTCATTCATTCAACCAACACTCATGACCTGGCACTCTGAACACGAGAGCAGTGGAGAAGAACTTCAGAGAGCCTTGTGGGACAAAACCACCCAAAATCCTCCAAAGACCTCCAGGAAGCCCTATGTGAAGGGGGAGGTAGATGAGTAGATGAAATTTGGGGCACGTGGGAGACTTTTAGTGGTCCAAGCAAWCTGGATATCTGTCTCTATCCCAATCCTAAGATCAGACTGAGGACCCTGGGGGTCTGAGTGTGGGGGAAGAGGTGTTAAGACATACTTATCAGGTGTGATAGCACATACCTGTAATCCCAGTGACTCTGGAGGATGAGGCAGAAGGATCTCAAGTTCAAGGCCAGACTCAGCAATGTAGCAAGGCCCTAAGTAACTTAGCAAGGATCTGTCTCAAGAGATAAAGTGATAAAGGGCCTCTGGGTTCAACGCCCCCCACCCTGACTCCCCGCAAAAAAAAAAAAAAAAAAATACGCTAGATCCAGTAGCAACATGTCCCCAAACCCCAGGTCTGTTAAGTTGTATTCTGGCTCAAAGAAGAGATTCTTTATTTGAATGATTCAGTGACCAAGAGAGCATAAGCACACATACACACATACCCACGCACAATATGCAAAGGCATTTCACAGGTAGGGGATAGGAAGTGAGAGAGGGGGCCACAAAAGCAGCTGGAGGCTTCTTTAACCCAATGAAGGGGGCCTCAGATGGAGACACTCCCTGGAATTCTTGTTCGAAAGCTATAAGAAAAAATGCACTCCTAGTGAAGTTCCAGGCCACATATCACAGCAGAGTTAGAGAAATCTGGGTTTGAGGCCTGGAAAAATCTGTAGATTTTCCTCACTGTAGAAACCTGTATCAGCTCCCCATTTCTTTTCCTGGAGACCTATGACTCCCTGGTACTCAAGGATCTTCCCACGGGTGAGGGAAGGATAGCACCACAGCCGCCTGGTGTGGGGTGGTCTATAGGGGAAATGGGCTCCACAGGGCCGTGGGGCAGCAGTGAACTTATCAGCTGGCTGGCATGAGGCAGTTTGCCTTTCAAAGCACAGAATCCTCAAGGAAGGTGGCAGGTGGGGACTTTCCCACATGACAGAGTGTTGGAGCACCTCTGATGGGAGGTGAAGGTTCTCATTGGAGCTTTCCATGGTCCCACTGGGTATGGAGGCCTCCTCCGGCTTCAGCTTGTCATTAGCTGCTACAAATCCTTAGCACCATTCAGGAACTGTGGAAATGGGCAGGAGGGACAGCAAGACTCTGCTGTGACTGTGTCAGTGCTCCAGGAAGGAGATGTCACACTTGGCAGAAACCTGTATAGTTGGCCAGCATCTGACTCAAGGCTCAAGAGAGCCTGCACATTTTGCAGAGAGGGGGAGTGTCACACTGGCTCTAAGCTTGCATGTGGTGTCCATTTCCACCTACTGTCTCCTGCCCTGGCAAATCTGCATGAAGACTACAGGAGACGTCTGGAGCTGAGGGACAACTCTGTTTTTAGCTGTAAGAACTGACCCCAAACTGACCTTTAGAGAAAAAGCAGGTGCTGGGGCCACAGGACGTGAGGCCCAGTAGGGCTGAGGAAGAGGAAAAGCCATCCTCCAATCTACCACCCACGTCGTCTCAAGACCCCTGCTTCCCCGTCATGACCAACAGGACCCATACCACAGGGTGGAGCGGGTGCAGGTTTGCCTGGACCTATCAGAGGCTGTCTGTGGCCCAATTCTTCCTCTGGRCTACTTATTCTCCTACTGTAAGAAAGGAGGAAGAGGGAGCCAGGGGCTGACCACAGTCATAGGAAGCTGGCTCTTGGCTGGTCCAGTGTGGAGTGCTAGACAGAAACCTCTAGTCTTCTAAGGTGCTTGAGTCTTTCTGAGTGGGTTGCCTTTGTACTGGAATCTGGCCCAAGGGTGATACCATTGTTTTTGGTGACCTGAAATGAGAACCAACAAAGCACAGGGTCAGTGTGTGGCATGCTGTTAATGAGGTGTCAAGTCCCTTATTCTAATGGTAGCATGGCTCTTCAAGTACCTGGGAAGAGGAAGCAGGGTGGCTTTCCTCTACAAGGTTTGCTGAAAGCAGGACAGGATGGATGGTGCACACTTTCCATTATCCTATTTCATTCTTGTGGTAATTCTGAATCCCCATTTTACACACAAGTAAACTAAAGTTCAGAAAATTTAAAGGGCTGGCCCAAAGTAAGTTTTTTAGTGGTAGATTCAGGACTGCAGCCCATGCCCTTCCACTATACCAAACCATTTACTCTGCCTACTTGGCCTGGATACTTACCCTACCAACCTTATTCCACACCATTCTCCCCCTCACATTCAATCAAATGTGGCTCTCCTGTCACTCTCTAACCCATTTTCTAGGGACATAGTACCACTTGATATTGCCTCACTTGTTTATGGATTTGTTTAGGATMTGTTTCTATTTCTAGAGGGAGGAACCAAAGTATCAGAGACAACACTGGTCTTGGTGTCTATTGTATCCCCAGTCTCTAAAACAGAGCCCAGCACATAATAGGTGTTGAGTAAATATTTGTTGAATAAATCAAAGTCTACCTTTAATATATACAACTTATTGGCACTAGCACTTCACATATTTCTTCCTTTTTTTGTGTATTGGGGATTGAACTCAGGGGCACTTGACTACTGAGCCAGCCCTATTTTGTATTTTATTTAAAGACAGGATCTGAGTTGCTTAGTGCCTTGCTTTTTGCTGAAGCTGGCTTTGAACTTGCAATCCTCCTGTCTCAGTCTCCCGAGCTGTGGAGATTACAAGTGTGTGCCACCATGCCTGGCCATTTCACATTTCACATATTTCTAATCCTCACCCAGACAGTAATGTGAGGCTGGTGAGTTCCACTTGGTAGTGAYGGAGCAAAACAAATGGGGTTTGCAGTTAAATACTAAGTATGAATCCTTGGTCTAATTCCAAGTAACTATGTGATCTTGGGCAAGTCACTTAAGGTAAGTGATATTTGGCTTCCTCTGGTTGAAAATGAAGGGGATGTCCTATTTTTGAGCTGTTGAGAATTTAATGAGATGTAAGTGTTTATTTGTTCAACACATTAGAGCTTTAAACTTGCAGAAGAAATAGAGACTCAGAGAGGTTTATTGACTTGCCCAAGGCCACTCATCTGAGAAGTTTAGGAACAGAACTATAAAACCATAATTTTCTAGTTTGAGTCACTTCAGGACAAGCCTCTGGCTGGCTCTAGGTTGTTTACTGAAACTACCACTAGTCACACTGCAAGATATGCTGAAACGCTATTTGAGTGCCAGCCTAGGATGCTGGGGCTTGTATCAAGTCTGTATCTAAGATAAGTCCCAAGAGTTCTCCAAATTAAAGATTTACCTACAGATAAGGAGGAAGATCTGTTATAGTGTGGGAGAGGAAATTCTGGGCAGAGTAGAGGACCAAAGATATTTTTTATTCCAACACTCTGTATTACTTCTACCTTTAATTCACTTGGCTCAGTGAGCAATGCACAATCAACACCAAAGTCAAAGTAATCATTTCAGCAGATTTTCTGGCCTGGCACTCAATTTCCTCYTGTATAAAATGGGGATTATGATGACCATTCGAGAAGGTTATGTTATAGCACATTGTTTACACTATACATTTCCCTTTAGAGGGGGAGGGACAGAAGCACACTGGCATTCCTGGCTAGGACCTGTCCTCTTCATATCACATAGTACCATGACTTCCCCCTCAGCGTCATGTGCTGGGAGGAACACAATGTGAATCAGACAGGTTTTAGTTTGAATCACGGCCCTGACTCACCACATCACTTTGAATGTTGGTTGCCTATATCTGTAAAATGAGAGTAATAACTCCTTCCTTCCAAGGTTGTTATGAGGATAACATGAGAGAATTTGCTTTGCATATGGCCCACAACAGAACAGAGGTTCAATGAATGCTATTCACGTTCAAGATGATCATCACTATGTTCACCTGTTCAACCCACTTATCACAATTTTTTTGAGGGGTGGGGAGGTGGAGCTGGGAGTAGAACCCAGAACCTTACATTTGCTAGTCAAGTACTCTATCACTACATCCCTAGCCCCACTCAGCACAATTTTTATTGATTGTTCATTTGCTTAGTTTGTCTCCTCCCATTAGAATGTAAGGTCATAGAATAGGTACTGAGTCTGTTTTGGGGCAACCATTTGGGTATTCAATAAACACTTGGTCACCTAGTGAAAGAATCTAGTCCTATCTGGTAATAACCTATAGAGGGAGCTCCTGCTGCAAAATTGATGGTGTAAAGACAAGGGTCTTCAGGCTAGTTGGGGGGAAAAAAATCACACTTCTCTGTAGTCGGTTGTTACAGATCAGRAAAAGGGTACTCTTAGGGGACCACAACAGAAATCATCTATGATTCTCTACAAAATCCTTCAGTCTGGCTGGTCCAAAGACTAGGGAGAAGCTGATGGAAGAAGAAGTTGATGGAAGAGGAGACACTTTTTCCTGTTAACTGATTTGTCTTATGTTGACTGAGATTACCAGAGTTCTGCTTAAACCTGGGACTACCTGGCTTTGTTCTGACTTAAAAAGCCTGGGCTCCTGCTGCAGACCTTTGAATTTCAAAAATGTTTACTCACTGGTTCTTGTGTTTGAAGCCGCTGACGTGAGCTTGGTACTGTTCTATGGAGTTCAGCACTATCTTACACGTCTTGCAGGGGTAGCCCTTCCCAGCTGAAACACACATCAAAATCAAGATATTTAGTTATCCAATAAGAAGTGACTGGGGACTGTTGCTTTTTGGAGGGAGTGCAAATGCCCTTCTGAGGACTGATGGGTTGGGGGTGAACAGAGTGGCCCAGATGAGAAACCCAGAGGCCACAGTGTGGAGGAGGTAGCCTGGGWGCCTATGTGCTCCCTATAGAACCTTATTTTCCTATGTTGCCAGCGCCAGCAAAAAGCCCACCTCAGGTGTGGTCATGCATGCCTGTGATCACAGTGCCTCGAGAGGCTGAGGCAGGAGGATTACAAGTTCAGAGCCAGTCTTAGCAACTCAGGGAGGTGCTAAGCAACTCAGTGAGACCCTGTCTCTAAATACAATACAAAGTAGGACTGGGGATGTGGTTGAGTGCTCCTGAGTTCAATCCCTGGTATCAAAAAAAAAAAAAAAAAGCCCACCTAGACTGTCTGTTGAGTAAATGAAAGAATGACAGAACAAAGAGGTGACACTTGGTGTTAACTATTTTTCCTACCTTGACTGTGCTAAGTGGCCTTTTTAAGTATGCCCTTCACCATGGACCTCCGGGAAAGTGCCACTTTTCTTGAGCTTGCAATAATAGTAATTAATGAGCATATCTGTTATGAAAACCCATCTGTCTTTTTACCTTGGGGCTCACAGATACCCTGTCTCCCTATCAGGGCTGCTCCAGTGACAGAGTGGCCTTCCTCCATATGGCCTAACAGTAAATGAGGAGCTGAGATATTACTTGACTCCTGGTTCTATCTTTATGTGATTTGGCCAAATCCCTTCCTTTCTCTAATCCTTAGCTTTTCTCAACTGCAAACCAATTGCATTACAATTCATAATCCTGGTGCTTACAATAAAATAGCTACTCTTTACCAAATGCCTGACATAGGCATGCATTTTATATAATGTTTACTTTGCATAACGATCCTGTAAAAATTATAACTGTGGGCTGGGGATGTGGCTCAAGCGGTAKCGCGCTCGCCTGGCAGTGCGACCCGGGTTCAATCCTCAGCACCACATACAAACAAAGATGTTGTGTCTACTGAAAACTAAAAAATAAATATTAAAAAAAAAGAATTATAACTTTATTTATTTATTTTATGGTACTAGGTATTGAATCCAGGGTTGCTTTACCACTAAGCTGTATCTGGCTACTAGTTCYGTGCAGGGGTCAATACAGACCATGACTCTCCAGCAGCCACAAACAACGCCAGTCAGAAAGTGCTGGAGGAGACCCAGGGCCTCCCCAGTCCTTTTAATTTTTTATTTTGAGACAAGTCATAGAAGTGGCCTTGAACTTGTGATCCTCCTGCCTCAGTTTCCCAATCTGCTGGGATTATAGGCATGTGCCACTGTGCCTGGCATAACCGTCATTTTGTAGATGGCAAAATTAAGCCAGAGTCACATGCCCAGGAGCACAGAGTTAGTTAAGTGGCAAACAGGCTTGGTTGATTACAAAGGTTTACTGATTCTAGAATGCCAGGTGTTAACTGTTGTAAGACAAGCAGCTGTACACACAACTTGAAGGCCCCTGTGGCTCTGATACCATTTGCTACCTTGAAGTCTCACAGCTTTGAGGTGAGGTCACCTAGGTTCAAATTTCAGTTCTACCATTTGTTACCTGTGGGACTACAGGCCAGTTACCTAACCTCTCTGAGATTTGTTTTCCTCATGCATACATAAGAGAGGCTCCTCTAAGACTCAGGTTCCTGACCTATAAAATGGGGTGGATATTAGTACCAACTATATGAGGTTATTATGATAATTTAAATAAAATTTTCTGGGCTGGGGTTGTGGCTCAGTGGTAGAGCACTTGCCTAGCATGTGTGAGGCATTAGGTTTGATTCTCAGCACTGCATATAAATAAATAAATAAAATAAAAGTTCATCAACACCTAAATAAAAGTATCTGGCACATAGTGCTCAATAAATCTGAGCTTCCCCCTGCCTTTTGGTATTGGGGATTGAACCCAGGTATGCTTTTCCTCTGAGCTATCCCCAGCTCTTTTTATTTTATTTTTCGGTACTGGCAATTGAAGTCAGAGGCACTCAACCACTAAGCCATATCCTCAGCTCTATTTCGTATTTTATTTAGAGACAGGGTCTTATTGAGTGGCTAGTGTCTTGCTTTTTGCTGAGGCTGGCTTTGAACTTGCAATCCTGCTGCCTCAGCCTCCTGAGATACTGGGATTACAGGTGTGCACCACTGCACCTGGCTTGTTTTYTGAGACAGGGTCTCATTAAGTTGCTAAGGCTGGCCTTGAACTTGTGATCCTTCTGCCCCAGCCTTCTGAGTCATTGGGATTACAGGTGTGTGCCACCATGCCAGGACCAAATGTACGCTTTTGTCACTGTTACTGTTTTACTCTTATGGGCTCTGTGAGTCATGCTGGCAAAGAGGGAGAGGCAGAAGGTATCTTTTTTTTTTTCTTTTAGTTGTAGATAGACACAATATCTTTATTTATTTTTATGTGGTGCTGAGGATGGAACCCAGTGCCTTACACATGCTAGGCAAGCGYTCCACCACTGAGCCACAACCCCAGCCCCCAGAGAGTATCTGAAGATTTCCATGGCAGCTGCAGCTCTTGACAACATAGACAATGTCCTTTACTCTAGCAGTTAACCAATATTCCTAGTTACATTTGTTTCCTTTATATCTTCAAGCATACCTGGAAGACACATCCCTTTAAAGTATGCAAAGGAGAAAACAATTGCAATAAGAATTTAAGTCCTTTCTAGACATTTAAGGTCAGTATCATGGTTCACCATCTTCAAGGAAAACACAATATAAGGGACTAGCAGAACTAYTCTTCCCTCAAGGTCAGGGGTGGGACCTGGAGTGGTGTGGGGTTGACAACCACCACTGGTGCACAGATTACAAAGCCCACTCTCTTTCTTTCTTTTTCTTTTTTTTTCAGAGCCAGGAATAGAACCTAGGACCTCATGCATGCTGGGAAAGTGCTCTCGACCATTTAGCTACAATCTCAGTTCACAAAGCCTACTACCTGTTAAACATCAGACACCATGCTAGAAGTTTGTGTATTTATGTCTTTGGGTTTATATACCCTGCAAGTGAGATGGTTATTTCCATTTTCCAGAGTAAGAAGCATTCTTAGAGAAGTTTAGGGGTTTATGTGGAGTCAGAGCAGAACTTGCCCTCTGCAAAGCCCCTCTGGACTCTCCTGTGTTCCCTTGGAGGAACAAGATCTCAACACACTATTTGCTTATCTGTAAGCTACATTCAAATTATTATTTGGGGCAACTGTAGAATTTATTAGAACTTCTAAAACAAGATTTGCCTAGTATATACATTAAGTGAATTTCCAGTTGCTTGTTTTACATGTCCAATATTCTGGTTTACCTGTATGATTTTATGAAGTATAAGTTGCTAGAGTAACTTTTTTTTTTTTTTGGTACCAGGGATTAGACTCACTGAGCTACATCCCCTTTTGTTTTTTATTTTGAGACAGAGTCTGGCTAAGTTGTTTAGGGACTTGCTAAATTGCTGAGGCTGGCTTGCATCTTGTGATCCTCTTGCCTCAGCCTCCTGAGCTCCTGGAATTGCAAGGTGAACCACCATGCCTGGCTCTAGAGCTGATTTTTTTTTTTTTTTTTTGGTGGTGCTGGGAATTGAACTCAGGGTCTTTTGAATGCTAGGCAGGCACTCTACCAACTGAGCTATATCCCCAGCCCTAGAGCTGATTTTTAAACATGGTTTATTTAGAAAAGACTATAGCAGAAGAATGTCATTTGTCTTAAGTCGATGGAAGTCTTTCTCCCATCCTACTTCCTTCTCTACTATTACCTTTCTTTTTTTTTTTTTTAAGTTGTAGTCAGACACAATACCTTTATTTATTTATTTATTTTTATGTGGTGCTGAGGATTGAACCGGGGCCTCGCACATGTTAGGCGAGCGCTGTACTGCTGAGCCACAACCCCAGCCCTCTACTGTTACCTTTATTTTCTCTTGCCCTTTACTAACATGCCTCTTGAAAGAGCTGTCTATACTTTTCTGTACTTGTTTCTCCATTTCCTTGTCTCTCAACCACTTTGTCACCTACCCATTACATACAAAGACATGAATAGTCTTTCTGAGGCCAATAGTGGCTTCCGTGTATCTTAATTTAATGGACAAAATGAATACTTATTAGGCCCCCTCATATCTGACAGAACTAGCAATTGCTCCCTTCTTCAAATTCTCTCAGCTTTGGCTTTTGACATTTGAATTTTCTCCTCTGGTTGTTCCTTCTCAGCATCTTTTTTCCATCTCCCCCCTCCCCTCCAGTACTGGGGATGATAYGCCAGGCCTTGTGCATACTAGACAAAAGCTCCGCACTGAGCTACATTCCCAGCTGTGCTACCTTCTCTTGAACCTACCATTTAATACTGGCATCCCAGAGGGCTCCATCCTCTTTTTCTTTCTTTCTCTCATTTTCTTCTTTATTATTATGATTTTATTATGATTGAACTTGAAGTCACATGAGCACTAACAAGCTAACACTCCCCCACTTAGCTACCCCCCCCCCCATCCCTTTTAATGTTGAGAATTGAACTCAGGGCCCAATGCATTCTAGGCAAGCCCTCTACCTTTGAGCTACATTCCCAGCCCTTTTTATTTTGAGACAGGATCTCACTAAGTTGCCCAAGATGGCCTCAAACTTTCGATCCTCCTGTCTCAGCCTCTTAAGTAGCTGGGATTACAGGTGTATACTACAGCACTTGGTAATCTAAATCATTTTGTGCATATGTGTGTGTGCGTGTGTGTGTATGTGTGTGTGGTGCTGGGAATTGAACCCAGGGCCTTGTGCATGTGAGGCAAGCACTCTACCAACTGAGCTATATCCCCAGCCCTCTAAACCATTTTTAAGTGTATAGTTTTGTGGTGTCAAGCACACTCACACTGTTGTTCAAGTAATCTCTAAAACTCTTTCRTCTTGTAAAACTGAAGCTCTATACTCATTAAACAACTCCCCACTTTCCTTTGCCCC